TTCCTCGAAGCTCGGGCCGGCTCGAGGTGCCCTGAAATCCTGGCTTCGCATTTTTGTCAGCACCGGGCGCTTTCGCCCTGTTTCGGGAGACTGGGGCCTTCACATGCTGCAGAAATCTGGGGTCTATCGGCTATGGGGCTCCGGCCGTGATCGTTGTCAATGTTTTTTTTCGTGCCCTCCCCCTTAGATTAGACGTCGGTAAAACATTGATTGAACACCGCCAGAAATCACGATGGGAGCCCCAGACTCCATCTTTCTGGGCCATTTCTCGGGCCGGATCGATCCGCCAGGCCCCCCCCGGGGCCCGAGGCAGGGCGAGGTTGCCAGGAGCGAAAAAACATGACGTGCCAGGATCTCGGGGCACACACGGCCGGGAATGCTGGCTCAGCGTATCTCACGCCGCCAGGTCCTCCTCCTCCTCCTCCTCCTCCTCCTCCTCCTCCTCCTCCTCCTCCTCCTCCTCCTCCTCCTCCTCCTCCTCCTCCTCCTCCCCCCGTTCTGGCCCGCCACGCTTCGGCTCGACGTGCCCCCACGCGTCGACGTCGACGTCCCGAGCGCATCGCGGCCTCCCGCCCCCGCGGAGCCGAGCGGCGCGCCGGCAGCCCGCACGGCACAGCAGGTCGCCGGGGCCGCCGCTGCGACGCGCCGAGGCGCCCGCGTGTGGCACTCGGGCCGGGCGAAGGGGGGGGGATTGGGAAAGGGGGGGTTACGAAATTTGCTACATGCAGCTGGTTTCGGCCTCACCGAGGGGCCCATTCCTCGATACATGGGCGCCTCCCGGCGCCGGGAGGCGCCGGGAAAATCAGCTACGTGAGCTGATTCTCAAACCCCCCCTTTGCTATCCCCCCCTTTCGCCCGACCCGAGGCACCCGACATGGCGGGAGGGCGCGCCCTCCTCCGGGGGCCGCCAGCGGTCACCGCCCACCACCCCAGCCCCAGCCCAGCTCGGAGGCCCCGATGTGCCCCGCACTTCCAAGGGTGGGAGGGCCGTGGAAGGCGGACACAGCACGAGTGAAGCCCGTGCCCCCCTCCCCAACCCGAACTTCGGGTCTTCGGGTTGGGTTGGGGTGGTCTGGTAGATAGTCAAGCGGCGGCGTGCCGCCCCAGCGCCTGGGCATCGCGGCCGCATCGTCGTCCTCCGCTGGCAGGGCGTGCCAGGCGCCCCTTTGAGCCGCAGCGGCAGCAGCCGCTTGCGGCAGCAGCCGTTTGCCGTGGGCGGGAAGCACGTCCGTGTCCGTGGCCTCGCGGACAGGGCCTCTTGGAGGAGGCAGCGGCAGTCGGCCTTCGGGGCGCCCCCCCGTCGCCACGGCTGGCCGCAGCTCGGAACCGTGCTGTGTGTGTCGGACCCCGGGAGGGGCCCGGAGGAGGAGGAGGAGGAGGAGGAGGAGGAGGAGGAGGAGGAGGAGGAGGAGGAGGAGGAGGATGAGGAGGAGGAGGAGGAGGAGGAGGGAGGAGGAGGAGGAGGAGAGGAGGAGGAGGAGGAGGAGGAAGAGGAGGAGGAGGGGCCCGGGGATCGACCGATCAGGAGGTGCCGCTGTCTCGAGTCTCCCTGCCCCGAAGATCCCTGTCCGCGGCCTCGCGGCCAGGGCCCCCCTGGGCCGCGACCCCCGCGAAGGCGGGGCTCTGCCCCCGCGGATGCCCCGCGCAGAGGATGGGGCGGAGGCAGAGGAGGAGGAGGAGGAGGAGGAGGAGGAGGAGGAGGAGGAGGAGGAGGAGGAGGAGGAGGAGGAGGAGGAGGAGGAGGAGGAGAGAGGAGGAGGAGGAGGAGGAGGAGGAGGAGGTGGGGGGAGGGGGAGGAGGAGGAGGAGGAGGAGGAGGAGGAGGAGAGAGGAGGAGGAGGAGGAGGAGGAGGAGGAGGGGGCCCGGGGATCGACCGATCAGGAGGGCCGCTGTCTCGAGTCTCCCTGCCCCGAAGATCCCTGTCCGCGGCCTCGCGGCCAGGGCCCCCCTGGGCCGCGACCCCCGCGAAGGCGGGGCTCTGCCCCCGCGGATGCCCCGCGCAGAGGAGGGGCGGGCAGAGGAGGAGGAGGAGGAGGAGGAGGAGGAGGAGGGAGGAGGAGGGAGGAGGAGGAGGAGGAGGAGGAGGATGGTGGGGGGAGGAGGGAGGAGGAGGAGGAGGAGGAGGAGGAGGAGGAGGAGGAGGAGGAAGAGGAGGAGGGGCCCGGGGATCGACCGATCAGGAGGTGCCGCTGTCTCGAGTCTCCCTGCCCCGAAGATCCCTGTCCGCGGCCTCGCGGCCAGGGCCCCCCTGAGCCGCGACCCCCGCGAAGGCGGGGCTCTGCCCCCGCGGATGCCCCGCGCAGAGGATGGGGCGGAGGCAGAGGAGGAGGAGGAGGAGGAGGAGGAGGAGGAGGAGGAGGAGGAGGAGGAGGAGGAGGAGGAGGAGGAGGAGGAGGATGGTGGGGGAGGGGGAGGAGGAGGAGGAGGAGGAGGAGGAGGAGGAGGAGAGGAGGAGGAGGAGGAGGAGGAGGAGGAGGAGGAGGAGAAGGAGGAATGATGAATGAGGCGGAGGAGGAGGAGGAGGAGGAGGAGGAGGAGGAATCCAGACCGCGAAGGGCGTGCGTGTGGGGTGCGGCCGCCGCCCGTGGCGGGGAGGCGGTACCGATCCCGCTGTCCTTCCCTCGTCCCCACGGCTGGGCTCGCTTCGAAAATGTTGAGGGTTCGCGCGGTGATCCCCAGCAGCCCATCCAGCAACGATGCCCGGGCGGGTGGCATTGATAAGGGAAGTTCTGGAGCACATAGAGAGGAGCAGCGACTGGGGGAGCAGCAGTCGAAGTGAAGATCGGGATGAGCTCGACGAGGCCCAGGAGTCAGCCATGAATGCCTTCGCGGATCTTTCGATATGGGAGTTTTCTGGCAGCTTACTTGGGCGATCTTGGAACCATTTGGGAGACTTTTGGGGCTCTCACTGGGCCCTCTCGGGTCCCTCGCGGGGCTTTCTTGGTGCCGTTTGCCGTCTTTGGGGGCGCTCGTGCGGTCATCTTGGAGGCCATGATCAGAGAATCGGGGTTAGCCAATTGTCCGCCCCCCTTTTCGGAGGTGGAAAATTTGCTCTCTTTGGATGCTCTTGGGGCCGTCTCTGGCCCCTCCTGGGACCCTCTTGCGCCAACTTAGAGCCATCCTGAGGCCTGAAGAGCCGATTGGAAGCGAAAAGGCGATACCTAAGGCAAACTATACTTTTTGTCCGTACTTTGGTTCCCCGCGGGGGGGAGGGTCATTGGGAGGTTCCGTGGCCGCTTGGAGCTGTCTTCGGGCATTCTTCGGACCTCCTAAAAGCATGTTGGGAGCTATAGTTCAACCATCTTGGGCTATACTGTGTGATCTCGGAGGCCATCTGGGTCTATCTTGGAGCCATCCTGGGCCATCCTGACCCTCTAGCGATCCGCGACCGCGCCAGTCCAGACCCAGGGAGCGAGGACAGGTGGGAGAGGTGAACCTCTCCCTCGAGGGGGAGGAGGAGGTTGGAGAACGACCTCGCTCAACATTAGCTAAAACTCCTACGCCCACTGGACTGGTTGGGAGTCTGCTCAGAACGCACCCTTTTTGAGATTTCTGGGGATGGGCTGTTGTTGTCCCCCTGGCAGTGCCGTCCAGATGCGCTCGGCCACCGGCTATGGGAGAGCAGCGTCCTCAGCAGCGTACAGTTGGGAGGGCAAGGAGTCCACGCGTGCCGAGCAGAGGGACACGGCGAATGCCCCGAATCATTTCGAGGGCATCGGTCCGAAGAGGAAGCAGCAGGTGGCGACGCCTCCTTGGGAGCCGATAGCGCGAGTGTCAGCAGGGAGTTTCGTTCAAAGCCACGTTGCACAGCAAGCAGGAGCGGGCTGGCGGCGCCAAGGCCGAGGATGCCTGCAGGGTGGGGTGCGATCGCGTGTGCGCATCGTTAATCCAGGCCTGACCCTCTACAGGGGGAATGTTCAAGAAAAAATAGTCGGGGACTATGTCTTTAGTATTATGTTTGAGCTTTTTTGGTGTATTGTTTGACTTGTCTTTATCTTTCATCCAACACCCCCCTGTAGGAGGACAGGCCCGATCTAAGCGTATCGCTCAGCGTACGAAAACCGCGAGTTCGAAAAAGCGTGGGTCGACAACAGGCGAGGGCGAGCTGGTGGGGAGCGGCGACGGTTGCAACTCCACCGCGTTGTTGCAAGGACCGCCGTTCCCGTCGGGGCGGCGCAGTACGAGACGAGCACGCGGTCTGCTCGGCCCGTCCTTGCGGTCTCGAGGCACATGAGGAGCACCGTGCTTAGTGTACAGTCGGGGCCCTGAAGAAGGAACCCGTTTGTTTGGGGAGGGGCTCCGCGTTCCTTAAGTGTTTCACAGCTTGCCTCAGGTTTTCCTTATGTTTTCGATCGGACATCGAAGTTTAATTTATGGAAAACAGGGGCCTCGTTCCTTATTTAGGGTTCCTTAGGTCAATGCCCCGACGGTACACGGTTCCTTGGACGCGATGATCATGGCGAGAGTGTTGTGTGGTTGCATCCAGTTGACGTTCTCAATCTCGTGTTCGCGCAGATTTGATTTTGGCACGCGGGAAGGGAAGGGAAGGAGGGTCCTGGTGGAGATCAGTTCTGGATGCCAGGGCTCTTCTTGGGACCGCTTTCGCTCTGAGCAGTTATCGGGGAACAACACGTGACATCACTATCCGCCTTCAAAGACAGGAGTTGATTTTTTAGATCGGTGCTGGCCCCCCTGCCTGGGGCGCAGAGCGCGCCTGAGGCGGCGCCGGAGGCACCGCTGGGGGTCGGCATCGCCGATTCAAGAAATTCGCACGGAGCCCCGCAAGTTTACGTTTATATAGCTCACCACCGATGCGTAGCTAGTTAAATCACCTGCCCCTGGGGTCCAGGCAGGGTCCCCAGGAGCCTGAACAGGGCGAAACAGATCTTGGATATTTTCTTTCCGACCTTCTGTCCTCCCATCCGCCCCCCATCCTCCTCCTGCCCTCTCATTCCTGCCTGCCTCCCATCTTCCCTGCTCCTCCTCCTCCTCGCCTCCAGGAGGACGTGAAGGACGACGAGCAGGAGGACGTGCGGGAAGACGTGAAGGACGACGTGCGAGAGGACGTGCGGGAGGACGTGAAGGAGGATGACGTGCGGGAGGATGTGCAGGACGACGTGCAGAAGGCCGAGCGGGAGAGCGTGAAGGGCGATGTGCAGGAGGACGTGAAGGACGACGTGCAGGAGGACGTGCGCAAGGACATCCTGGTAGGCGGGCAGGATGAGGGAGCCGTACCCGCGAAGCACCCGCCCGGCGGGGTTGCGCTGCAGACGTGGGGCGCGGAGAACGTCGATGGCGAGACGGAGAGGCGGAGCTGGTTGGAGCAGGACCGGCAGACTCGTCCTGACCCCTTAGCGGTGACCCCCGTCGCCCATCAGGCGTCGAGCAAGCTCTTGCTGCTCGCGCCCCCCCTCCCCTGCCAGCCCCTGCGTCGAAAGATGGAGTTCCCAGCCTCCTGTCGCCCCGTGCCAGCCCCTGTGCTTCTCGAGCGCTATCGGACACATTGAGCAGGTAGGGGCCGCCTTGGCGTCGGAAGGGGCTCGGAAGGCCTCAGCGCCTCCCTCGGGCCATCCCCTGGCCCTCAGCTGGGCGCGACGGGGGCCAGACATCGGGGAACAACAAAAGAAAAAGAAATGAACATTAACCTTCGGAGGCCCGCGCGGATTTCTTGGATCGGCGCTGGAGCCCCCTGGCGGCGCCTCCTGCGCCGCCCCTGGCGCGGAGGGGGGCTCCAGCGCCGATCCTTGAAGTCCGCGCGGGCCGCCGAAAGTTGCAGTTTATGCCATGTGATTGTGCCCCGAGGAAAGAGACCGCCCCTCTGCCACAAGAGTGAGGATGGAAGGACGAGGCCTCGGGAGGAGGACTCGGGAGGGAAGGGCGAGGGAAGGACGAGGATTCCCGAGAGGACTCCCAAAACGAGGGAAGGATGGTGCGTCAGGCCACCCGTACTGGGCCGCCCGAGGGACGGGGGCCAGAATCTCGAGCATCGAGGATCGAGGAGGAGGAGGAGGAGGTGAAGGAGGTGGAGGATCGAGGATCGAGGATCGATGATCGAGGATCTAGGATCGAGGGTCGAGGAGGAGGAGGTGGAGGAGGAGGAGGACCCGCCCCACGACCGCCCCAGAGCCCAAGGCGGCCCAAGCAAGCCCCAAGGCGGCCCAAGAGAGCCCCAAGGGCCCCAGTAGAGCGCCCAAGATGGCCCTGAGGCAGCCCCGGAGCCCCCCAAGACTGCACAGGAGGACTCCAAGACGGCCATAGCGGCCCGAGGGGCCTCCCGAGTCGCGCCAAATGGCCTAATTGGCCCCCAAGCAGGCCCCAAAGACAGCCCCAAGATGGCCCAAGAGAGCCCTAAGGCGGCCCGGAAGAGCCCCAATAGAGCTTCCAACATGTCTCTGTTTCCCCAATAATGCTGCTTCCAGGATGCTCGCCCCCGCCGATCCCGAACAGTTCGAAGAACCCTAATGAGGGGGCCCCTTCTCCCGAGAGTAGCCCCAAAGTTCCGCAGGATTCTACTCATCACCCTCCTCAGGAGCGAGCGCGCAGTGGGTTCTAACGCTCGGGGTGTGGAGGAGGGGAATGCAGCCAGTGGGTTGACCCACAGACGGAGAGAGAGGGGGGGAGGGGGAGGGGGCCTACCTGACCCCTCGATCATCATTGCCATACAATCCGCCGCCTCGAGTGATGAGCGTCTCGATGGCGAGTAACGATGATGTAGCCAAGGAGAGAGAGAGAGAGAGAGAGGAACACGTGGGAGGGGGGGAGAGATGGCGCGGAAGACAAGAAACGCGAGGATTATATTTGGGAGCACGGAGGAATAGGGGGTGGAGGATGAATGACGGAAAGAGGGAGAGGTAGAGAAAGGGGGAGGGAAAGATAGAGAGAGAGAGGGAGAAATAAATAAAGACGGAGAAAGAGGATCAGAGAAAGAGGAACAGAGAAAACAATGGAGGAGGTATCATGGTGATAATTGGTAGGAGGAGGAGGAGGAGAAGAGGGCAATGAGCAGAAGGACGGTGATGAGCATGACGAGGTCGATGAGGGCCTTAGCTCCGGCGATCCGGGGCGATTGGGCTTTGAGATTTGACTCTGACCAGTCCGTTGTTGAGCTGCTGCCCCAGTCTGTGCTAGAAACTATGCGCGTGTGAAGCGCGCGCGTCGTTCTAGTGCGCGTGTGTGGTGTGTGTGTGTGTGTGTGTGTGCGTGTGCGTGTGCGTGTGCGTGTGCGTGTGCGTGTGCGTGTGCGTGTGCGTGTGCGTGTGCGTGTGCGTGTGCGTGTGCGTGTGCGTGTGCGTGTGCGTGTGCGTGTGCGTGTGCGTGTGCGTGTGCGTGTGCGTGTGCGTGTGCGTGTGCGTGTGCGTGTGCGTGTGCGTGTGCGTGTGCGTGTGCGTGTGCGTGTGCGTGTGCGTGTGCGTGTGCGTGTGCGTGTGCGTGTGCGTGTGCGTGTGCGTGTGTGCGTGTGCGTGTGCGTGTGCGTGTGTGCGTGTGCGTGTGCGTGTGCGTGTGCGTGTGCGTGTGCGTGTGCGTGTGCGTGTGCGTGTGCGTGTCGTGTGCGTGTGCGTGTGCGTGCGCGTGCGCGTGCGCGTGCGCGTGCGCGTGCGCGCGCACGCGCACGCGCACGCGCACGCGTGTGCGCGTGTGCGCGTGTGCGCGTGTGCGCGCGTGCGCGCGTGCGCGCGTGCGCGCGTGCGCGCGTTGCGCGCGTGCGCGCGTGCGCGCGTGCGCGCGTGCGCGCGTGCGCGCCGTGCGCGCGTGCGCGCGTGCGCGCGTGCGCGCGCGCGTGCGCGCGTGCGCGCAGTGCGCGCAGTGCGCGCGTGCGCGCTGTGCGCGTGCGCGTATGCGCGTGCGCGTGCGCGTGCGCGTGGGCGTGTGCGTGTGCGTGTGCGTGTGCGTGTGCGTGTGCGTGTGCGTGTGCGTGTGCGTGTGCGTGTGCGTGTGCGTGTGCGTGTGTGCGTGTGCGTGTGCGTGTGCGTGTGCGTGTGCGTGTGCGTGTGCGTGTGCGTGTGCGTGTGCGTGTGCGTGCGCGTGCGTGCGCGTGCGCGTGTGCGCGTGCGCGTGCGCGTGCGCGTGCGCGTGCGCGTGCGCGTGCGCGTGCGCGTGCGCGTGCGCGTGCGCGTGCGCGTGCGCGTGAGCGTGCGCGTGCGCGTGCGTGCGCGTGTGCGTGTGCGTGTGCGTGTGCGTGTGCGTGTGCGTGTGCGTGTGCGTGTGCGTGCGTGTGCGTGTGCGTGTGCGTGTGCGTGTGCGTGTGCGTGTGCGTGTGCGTGTGCGTGTGCGTGTGCGTGTGCGTGTGTGTGTGTGTGTGTGCGTGTGTGTGTGTGCGTGTGTGTGTGTGTGTGTGCGCGTGTGCGTGTGTGTGTGTGTGCGCGTGTGCGTGTGTGTGTGCGCGCGTGTGACGTTTCGCGTCCGCGCCGTCTGGGAATGCCCAAGAATAACCACAGCCAGCTCGGAGGCACCCGGGGGGGCCGAGACCGGTAACGGCCGCTATCGCGACAAATGCAAGAAAAACGCCTTCCAGAGATGCGATACCCTGATTTTTTCAACATGGGGTCCGCGGAAGTTTCGACCCCCCCCCGGGGGCTCCCGGGGGCTAGCTTCTCACCCTGAGTTGTTGGCGTTGGCAGCCCCCGGGGGCCTGCCAAGAGGGCCACATCGAGGCCGAAGACGGCGAACGAGCTCAGTTCTTGTTTTTGCTCACTCGTCGGGTTCTGGCCACCACTGGTGGGGCCCAGCGGCTTGCGAGGGGTTCCTCCTCCATGTGGGGCGGACGAGAGCACAGCTCCCCCGGCTGCGGCCGGCCGGGCAGGACGGAGCGGGCGCTCCGGACCGGGGTGCCGCCGCAGCCGGGGCCGAGCAGTCCACCGCGGCGGGGGCCGCGCCGCCCGCCGCGCCCGGGGCGGAGCTCGAGGACACGCAGGCGTCGGAGGATCGGCGGAGGTCGAAGGGCAGCATCGCGATCAGCCTGCGGCAGGGCTCGCGTCGTGGCGGCGCGGCCGGCGGCGGCCCCAGCGTGGGGGCAGAAAGGTGGAGCGCCAGCGGCGGCCCAGAGTCGGCCAGCATGGAGCGATCTGGCGATGCAGAAGCTGCCGATCATCCATGGTTGAACGATCCACGCGGTGTCTGAGACCAACGCCGGGGTCGTCACGGCACAAACTTGCCGTATCCCCATCCCCACCAGGCAAGGGTGTCTCAGCCCCACCATCTTGCTATCTTGGTTGGGGATCTGCCTGTCGAAGCCCGAAGAGAATGGCCTATGCTCCCGTCTTGGGAGTGAAATCGGCCAGCGGGGCCCAGGCCACGCCAGCGGGGATAGGGATCGGCTACACGATGCTCAGGAGGGCAGAAAACCACTGCATGCACATGAGTTCTCGGAGCTCCGCGCGGATGTCTTGCATCGGCGCTGGGCCCCCCCGGGCGGCGCCTCGGGCGCCGCCCCTGGCGCGCGCCGCGCGCCAGCGAGGGGGGTCCAGCGCAGTCAGCTCGGACCTCCGAAAGTGGGTGTTTATGTCATCTGGTGTGCCTCGAGAACTTTCTTTCCGGGGTGCCACGCATATTCCAGAAGCGGGCCTCTGAGAAGTTACGTGTTTGCTCTCTCTCTCTCTCTCTCGGTAACTGCTCAGGGTGCCACGCAGATTCCAGAAGCGGGCCTCAGAGAAATTACTTTCTTCTGCCCCATATCCCATGCCCCCCCTTCGGGAGCGCCAGAAGCGGGGGGGGCGGGGAGCACGGGGACGAAGCCCAACAACCAGCAGCAGGGGACGTTGACGGGGATCGGGCGGGGCAAGGACGAGGATAAATCCGTCCCAGAACGTTGAAGAACGCTCTCAGAAGGCCGCGGCGCCCGAGACATCCTGCAGAGCCGCGGAGCTCAGAGCTTAGCAGAGTTTGGCTTGTCAACTTCGTCTTGGGGGGGGTAAGCACGGGGACGAGGGCCAGCAACCAACCGCAGGGGACGGGGGCGGGGAAGGCCGAGGGCGGGGAAGGCCGAGAGCGGGGACGGAGACCAACGGCCAACAGCAGCTCCTGCCTCATACTTGGGAACATCGGGTCGGACGAGAGGGGGGGGGGGGGGGACAGGGCAGAAGGAGGGGGGGGGGGCACGAGATCTGCTGCGTGCAGGTGGTTTCGGTCCCGCCGAAGAAGCCATGCCTCGGGACGCAGCCGCCTCCCGGCGCCAGGGGGCGCAAGGAAGACCGATTGCGTGGCCCTACCCGTTGCTATCCCACCCTTTCGCCCCCCCCCCCGAGCAGAGCTCGCTGTCGGTGTCGCCGTGGACGGTGCTCCTTCGGGACGAGCGCCGGTTGCCCGACAGCGGCCGCTGCCGCTGCTTGATAGCATGTGCCCTGGGGCGTCGTCTCGATGTTTTGCTGCGTCTGGCCCCGGCTCGATGCTCGGGCCGGGCGAAAGGGGGGGATTGGGGAAGGGGGGGTTACGGAATTTGCTGCATGCAGCTGGTTTCGGCCCCACCGAGGAGCCCATTCCTCGATACATGAGCGCCTCCCGGCGCCGGGAGGCGCCGGGAACATCAGCTACGTGAGCTGATTCTCAACCCCCCCCTTTGCTATCCCCCCCTTTCGCCCGACCCGAGATGCATTCCACCCATAGGTCTGACTTCTGTGTTCGTTCAAGTTTGCTGTTTGCTCTGCTCGAACATTGCCACGTGGGGTCACCATTAGGGGGTCGTCGCCTCTTCTTGGAGCAGGGGGATCGTGGATCGGGGAGGAAGTTTCTGGGCTTCTTTGGACGCGTTGGGCGGCCCTGGGAGGGGCTGGGCTATCATCCCCCGTTTCCCAGGGAAGAGGTGGCGACCCCCCTAGTAGTGGCGACCCCTGTCGACACTGCCTGGGAGGAGTCGGATGACGTCCCGTACGACGACGACTGGGACGACGCCTCCATGACGGATGGGACCGCGTCGATGTCGAGGACGCGCTTGGGCCCTGGCGGCGAATACTTGTTTGCCGCCCCTTCAGTCAGAAGCCCCTAGCACTCACCAAGGCTACCCGTTCACCCTTGCTCGTTCCCTTCCATCCCTTCTGGTGGCGTGCCGCTGAAGATCAGGAGGGGAAAAAACACACAGACACAATTAATGGTCCACTCCCCAGAAAATATAGGAAAATATGGGAAGTGGGGGGGAAGACAAAAACCCAGAAAATATGGGAAAATATGGGAAATCTTTTTATTTGTGTGTATTTATTTGTGTGTCCCAGGGCCTCTTCAGAAGACGCTTCAGCACGGACGTCTGAGGGTCGCGCATCCTCCCTCACCCCCTACTTGCCATTGATAGCGCGTGTGCTCTTCGGGCATCTGGCTGCCGGACTCCTCTGCCGGCTGGCGCTGCCCTCCCCCTGGAGGTCTCCAGAGGCCCCCAGAGATCCCTGGAGGTCTCCCAGAGCGATCCCCGCGGTGTCGGAAACGGGTGCCGGCGTCGTCACGGCACGAGCTTGCCTCTTTCCTCACCCGAAACAAAAGTCGGTGGGAAAAAAACACATTGTGGGAAAAAGCACACACTTTGTTTTTTTCTCACAGATGTGTGTTGTTTTCCCACAGTGTGTTTTTTCCCCACAGTGTTTGTTTTGTTCCCACAGTGTGTGTGTGTGTGTGAGTGTGTGTGTGTGAATGTGTGTGTGTGTGCGTGTGTGTGAGTGTGTGTGTGTGTGAGTGTGTGTGAGTGTGTGTGTGTGTGAGTGTGTGTGTGTGAGTGTGTGTGTGTGTGAGTGTGTGTGTGTGTGTGAGTGTGAGTGTGTGTGTGTGTGTGAGTGTGTGTGTGAGTGTGTGTGTGTGTGTGAGTGTGTGTGTGTGAGTGTGTGTGTGTGAGTGTGTGTGTGAGTGTGTGTGTGTGAGTGTGTGTGTGTGTGAGTGTGTGTGTGTGAGTGTGTGTGTGAGTGTGTGAGTGTGAGTGTGTGTGTGAGTGTGTGTGTGTGAGTGTGTGAGTGTGTGAGTGTGTGAGTGTGTGTGTGTGTGCGTGTGTGTGTGTGTGTTTCCCCACGAGAAGAGCAGGTCGCCGTAGCTCTCGCGGAGGGGCGCAGAGAGCCGCTCGCCCGCCCATGGCCCCCCCCCCTTCGAGTGCTGCCAGAGGTGCCCCCCCCGCTTTCGCGCCCGCCCGCTCCCAGAGGGCCAGGGGTACGTTTACGTCTGATCATTTTGGTGCGGGCGCAGAGCAAGTGTGATAAAAAACACGTGTGATAAAACAACAGTGTAATATAACACAAGTGTGATAAAACAACTGTGATTAAAAAGCATCCGAACAAGTGTGATAATAACAAACAAGTGTGATAAAAAGCCGTGTGATATAACACAAGTGTGATAAAACAACTGCGATAAAAAAAACAACAACAAAAACAAAAACAACACATCCGAACAAGTGTGGTATAAAAAAGCAGTGTGAAACAAACTGTCAGATTCGGGTTCCCAGATGGCCAGATTCGATGCGATGGCCGCGGCCTGCGCGCTCGCGTCCGGCCTCCCCGCGGCCCCCGGAAGTCGCGCACCAGAGGCCATTCTTGCCCGCGGTCGCTCTTCGGCGTGTGGCCGAGCTGGCCGGGCGGTCGGTGGCGACGACAGGCAACGGGCCTCGCGCGAGACGACATGGCGACCTTACGCACCGGCTGGCGCGGGCCGCCAGCCCGGCACGTCTACAGCGGAAGCGGAGGCGCTCACTTGCCGTTTTACGCAGCGGCTTGGTCGCCAGTGTCGGTGAGGACGACCCCGATTTCTACTACCCACCCGCATCTATGGGGACCCAGACCCAGACATTTCCGCGTCGTGCAACAAAAACGGGGCAGGGAGCTTTTGGCCGTTTTGGGCCTCCTGGGGCCCGAAAGCGGGCCACGGGGCCGTCCAGAAACGACCCAGCATGAACGACCAGCCTGGGGAAAGAGTGGAAGTTGTCTGGGGAGCGCGTATGGGAAAGAAAACACGACATCGCATGTTTGAGGATAGTGATTCACCGAGCCCGTTCCATTGCTCGCAAAGTGCCTACTCGCAGACGTCAGACAAACACGCATGGGTGCCTGGACGCAAGGTATCCCAACCCCCCCGCGGCGAATCCGGGCCATTCGCGAGTAGCCACTTTGCGAGCAGTGGAGCGCGCTTGTCTACAGTCAACCCGCATAGTTAAGATGGGCAACCTTCCCAAGGGTATCCTTGCATCCTTGCCTCCTCGGTCCATCCCTCGCCGCCTTCGCTGGCCGCGCCCCGCCCGAAAAGCCTCGATATGGGCGTCCTTCAGGCCCTTGCATCCTCATCGCGCATCCTCACTATACTGGCTGGCCGTAGTGCTGGCGGTGTGCGCGGGGAGATCTGGCGACCTTTTGCGCCGCGGCTCGCGCCCACTGACGGTTGCTGCCCCTCGGGGAGGCCCCGGGCTCGGGCTGGGCGAAAGGGAGGGGGGACAGCAAAGGGAGGGCCTGAGAGTCAGCTCGCGCAGCTGATTCTCCCGGCGCCTCCCGGCCATGCATCGAGGAATGGGCCCTGTGTGGTGGGGCCGAAACTTGCTGCATGCAGCAAATCTCGTACCCCCCCCCCTTTCCCGACCTCCTCCTCCTCCTCCTCCTCCTCCTCCTCCTCCTCCTCCTCCTCTTCCCTCTCTTCGGCTTGTGTCGCCCTCTCTTCCCCTTCTCGGTTCGTGTTTGGGACGATGCCCGGGCTGAGGGGCGCCGAGAGATTCGCAGTGCTCTCCAGGAGGTTCGTCCCCCCAAGCTTCAGAGAGTTGTAGGCACTGCGCTCATGCACGCTGTGTTTCCTGATAGATTGTTTCTCACGATCGCTCGCAGGCTCACTAAGTGGCAGTTTACATGTCCACCAGCTCTTGATACGAGATGGGCTCTTGTGCGTGAATGTCTTGAGCAAGTCAGGCCTGCGTGGCGGTGGGCGTACACCAAGAGCGTGTGCGGAGGCTGGACCACAAGTGCACGCATGCATGTTTCGCGGCACACCCGTGACTGCATCTTTGGATGTGGAGGCCCTGATGCGATAGCTCACTATTTCATGTGCCCTCGGATGCGCCACCATGTCGCCTTAAGCTGGATGCGACTCGTCTTTCCTTCGGACCCCCTCCTCTGGCTCGGCCTCGGTGCCCCGACCGAGTACGGCACAGAAGACTGTGAGATAACGCGCCTCCAGGCTGTCGAGGCCACCGTCCTTGCCTTCCACATTTACCACAAAGCCAAAGATTCTGTGCCTCCGGAGGCGCACCTCTCATATACAGAAGCCGAGCGGATCACTGGTGCTGTGCGTTTGGCGCTTCGCGTCTAGTGCGGTCATCGGGAGTCCGCCTTCAGGGTACGTCTACTCCTCTTCCTCCTCCTCCTCCTTGCGTCCGGCCCGACGTGCCCCGCCGCGCGGGCCGCCCCGCGCCCGCGCCGGCCCCCGCGGTGAAAGCCTGGCCGCCGCGGCCCCAGAGGACGGCCAGGACCCGCAGCGGCGGCTTCGGCCCCCCCGGGCGGGGGCCTCTGAACTCTGAGCCGTGCGCGCGACGCGCTGGCCTCCTCCTCCTCCTCCTCCTCCTCCTCCTCCTCCTCCTCCTCCTCCCTCCTCCTCCTCTCCTCCCTCCTCCTCCCCCTCCTCCTTCTCCTCCCCTCCTCCCCCTCCTCCTCCTCCTCCTCCTCCTCCTCCTCCTCCTCCTCCTCCTCCTCCTCCTCCTCCTCCTCCTCCCCCTCCTCCTCCTCCTCCCCCTCCTCCTCTTCCTCCTCTTCCTCCTCCTTCGCCACGATGTTCTGCTCTGTAGCCGGCCTTTTTTCAGGATCCCACGCCGCCCGCGCCGCGCTGCACTCGCGGGCCTGCCGCCGATCGGCCGCCCCAGGACGGCCAGGACCCGCAGCGACGGCTTCGGCCTCCCGGGCGGGGGCCTCTGAGCCGTGCGCGCGACGCGCTCGCCGCGAGGGACCGGGGGGGGGGAGGGGGCAGTGGGGGGAGGGGTTCCCCAAGCAGTGCTTGCACTGCAGGGGTCCATCAGAAACGACCAGGGGGTGCCAGTGACGTCACGATTCACGCCAGCCTGCAGCGCCGTCTGCGAATGCCTAGGAATCGCTAATTCCCAGACGGCACAAGCGCGAAGCGTGACGTGACCGGGATGGGGGAGGGGTGTGGAGGCAGCGGGCCCGGTAACGGGCGTTTTAGCAAGTCGTAAAACATCAATTTCACAGGGCTGGGTTTTCGGATTTCTTCCATAGTGTTCGTTGGTTCTTGGGGGCGGTCTTACCTTGGCATGTTTTCCAGCAGCTGCGTCTCGCCCAGAGCGTGACAGGAGGTGCTCCGATCCTCCCGAAAGGCCTGAAGAGACCCGAGTTGTTATGGCCCGGAGGCCGACGACCACTCTGACCTCGCTTCGTGAATCAATCACGTTGGATGTTCGTTTTGTCGGACGGGTGGTAATTTACCAGCCTCGAACGTATCCTTATCCCTAAGATTGACACGCCAAAAGGCGATGACAATCTTAGGATTCGCCCTCAAAAAATAAGGGAATCCCCAAGATTGGCATCGTGATAAGGAGGTGCCCAGCATAGGGACAGGGATATGTTCCAGGCTGGTAAGTAATGGGGAGTGACCCAAATGGGGGGTGAAGAAAAGGGCCCTAAAGGGACCCTTCAGGGCCCCTTTTGGGCACCCCTTTCTTTCGCCCCCCATTTGGGTCACCCCCCATCACCGCCCGCCCCATCTCGTTGTTGCCACTCTCGGCTTCTGTTGGCCTACACGGGGCCCAGAGGCCGTCAAACAAAAACACTTCGGGTTAAGAGACCGGCCCGGTCCCCAGGAAGGGCTCCAGGCCCTGTGGGGAGCCACGCTGCCAACAAAAACGCCACGTCCGAGGTAGGAGGAGGGAGGTCTTCTGGCACTTCTCAAAAGGTTTCGTCGTCACGGCGGGGCGCAGCTTGGGAGGCTTGCCAGGAGGGGCCCGGGGAGTGGCCAGGGGATCGGTTTTGAGGCAGTGTTGCAGGGTGGTTCACGCATCGAGGAGAACCGAGGATGATCGCTGAGGAGTGCAGGGATCGCGCAGGATCGATGTTGCTGCTGCTCAGGATGGCAGTGGTGATGACGGTGATGGTGGTGGTAGTGGCGATGAGCATGACGATGCGGATGAGGATGAGGATGATATGTTGATGATCTGATGATGATGCTGATTCTAATGATGATGCTGATGTTTATTCTGATTATGATGACGATGCTGCTGCTGATGCTGATACTGATGCTGAAGCTGATGCTGATGATGACAGTTTATGATGATGAGGAGGATAGTGATGCTGATGATGCTGATGTTTATGATGATGGGGATGGTGGTGGTGCTGGTGATGGTGATGATGATGAGTCTCATGACGTTATGGCGCTGATGCTGGTGATGATTAGGGTGTTGATGACGGTGATGGTGATGTTGCTGGTGATAATGATGCTGATGATGATGAATATGATGTATGCTATTCATGCTGATGTCGCTGTTGCTATTGTTCTTGATGCTGATGATTGGGTTTTCGAGGAAGACCTGTGCAATGCGCAGGTGGGGTGGAGCAGCGCGCTGGCGCTCAGATGGGGGCCGGTTGTGAGACATCAGCAGCCCTCCTAGTCCCTGTTCAGTCCTCGTTATCTTCCCCCCCCTATCCTTTTCGCCCTCGGGAGGATGAGCAGCACCAGATAAGGGAGGGGGAGACGGTGAAATAAGGGTGATGGAGACGAGGAGGACGGGGATAGATGGAGGAAAGAGGAAATGCAACAGGAGAGGGAGATATACAGGTGGAGGCGCGGGAGGGGGTGGGGAAGGTGGAGGAATAGTATTAGAAGGTTCAGAGGTGCGACTTGGGCCAGTGGCAATCCGCCCTCGATTTCTGATGTCTGCTGCTTCCCTGCGCGCTTTTTTTGATCTCACACTCTGGAACCAGGTAGCCCGCCTCCCGTCATCGGGAGTTGTGCGTCGCGACCTTCGCTGCACCAAGCCATGTCTGAGACTGCCAGTCCGTGCTCGGGACTGCGGGAAGGAAGAGGAGGAGGGTGGAGGTAGGAGGAGGAGGATGAGGCACGAGGTGGGAGGACGAGGACGGATGAGGCGATGACGAGGAGAAGGAGGAGGAGGAGGAGGAGGAGGAGGAGGATGACGAGGATGAGGATGAGGATGAGGAGGGAGGCAAGAGGGCATCATCAGGTGGAGGGGGAGGAGGAGGGAAGTTCCGACAGCGAGAGATAGAGAGAGAGAGAGAGAAAAGGTTAAACTAAGCAATGATTGAACATGTTGTTGGGAGCGATCCTCACCGATATCTTCGGTACCCGTCCTAACAGTGCCCACGCTTACATCATTGATGCGCGTAAGCGGAGGAGGCAAAGGAGACGGCGGCGAAGACAAGAGGATGTGGGCAGTTGAATTTTTACCGGATTGTTTTCCTCTTTCCGCTCCTGTCTCTTCTTCAGTTTTCCTCATTCCCTCCCTCGCCCTCGTCCTCCTTCACCTGGGGGCGGCGCTCTGCTTCCAGCGGCAGCTTGGCCCACTGAGACGCGCAACAGGTGCAATTACGACCCCGCCGACGCGAAGCATGGACGGGCACGCCCAGCTAACAATCTCAACTGACCGCCTGGCTGACCCAGCATGCCCAGCAATCAATTTCATGCTGGCGTGTTCCGAAAGCGATGTAAGATGTCGGTTTCCTCTCAGATCATCCGTTGGCTGTCATGGCTCGTCGATCCCGCTTGTTGTCGTTCTAACATGTCCTGTTCTGGCGGCGACGACTGGCGGGGCGGTCGAGTCCAGACGTTTCAACCTTGAAATCTAACAGCCCCATTTGTCAGGCGAGGAAGCCCGACGCTTTCCGAATCTCCCGATCTCCCGAGTTTGGGTTATCCACCTCCGTTGCCTCCTGCGTTCGCCTTGCACCCGCGAGAGGCCACTGACTGTTCGGTCCTTCTCACCGCGTCGCCTGGCATGGCCGCGGGAAGTCTTGAGCGGCGGGCGCGCTGTCGCGACGCCCATAGTGCGTGATCCAGTAACCGTGGAGTCATTGCATCTTGTTTGTCATTTGTTGTCATGCAGGTTATCAGGCTTCTGTTCGAATGCGCCATGACCCACGGAGAAAGAGAGAGATAGAGAGACAGAGAAACAACAAGAGAGCAGCAGTCAACATTAATGCCAGTTCTGTTCATAGCGATCGTGACCACAACCTCCGGCACTGTTTTGACGGTGCTCATGCTGACCGACTTGATGCGCGCAACGATGGCGCAGAGAGGGCGACGGAGATGGCGGCGAAGGAACGAGAGCGTGGACTGATGAGCATTTGCCATATTGGGTTCCCATTCCCCCTCCTGTCTCGTCCCTTTTTTTTCCTCCTCCTCCTCTTTTTTTTGCTCCTTCATTATTTTCCCGCGTCCTCCACCTGCGGGCGGCCCTCTGCTTCCAGCGGCCGCTGGGTCCACCTGGAAAAGGGGAAGGGGCCCGCACCTGCGACCGCGCAGAAGCGCTTCTGGTCGATCCGTTGTACCACGTCGCCTGTCATTTAACGGGCGAAGAACGGTATACAATAAACTTTTTCGCCGTCGGGGACACCTGACCCAGGGCGGCTGGAAAGTTTATACCCTTACGGTGGCACCGTAAGGGTATAAACTTTCCAGCCGCCCAGGGACAGGCGCCCCCGACAGCGAAAAAGTTTATTTTATACCGTTCTTCGCTCGCTGAGTCATGTTTGCGTTTGGGATTTTGAGTTGCCGGCGCGTCGTCGCAACGCCCGCAGTGTTTCATTCAGCAACCGTGGGATTGTTGTATCAGTTTTAGTTGTGTTGTCATGCAGGCTGTCAGGGTGCCCTGCGTGCACGTCGTGGCCCATGGCGCGTGCTGTTTGTGAGCAACCGTTGCTGCGGTTGGCTCATTCTGCGCGGCGTCGTGATGCCTCGACGCATGTCATGACAGACTGGCGCATTTTAGGACGTCGTGGCGCCCGTCATGCATGATTCGGTTGTGCGTGGTTTTTCAAGTTGCCCATACTGGTTTGTGACATGTCAAACTTGTCGTTGGTGCGTGTTTTTGCTTCTCGGCCCGGCGTTGCGTCGTGCGTATGTCTCATCAGACTCGTCGTGAGCGCCCCCATTATTAGGTCTTACAATGCTGCGTTTTCGATGTTAACGCCGTCGTCGCTGCATTTGACAGTTGTCGAGCCACCGCGGGGTTCTGATTGTTTGTTACATTGGTTCGTTCTGTGATGTACGTTTTGTTCATTGATCGCGATGTCCATGCGGATGTATGGCCATCACATGTTGTGGTGCGGCATATCAGAATTTTGTTATTTCTGCTCTCTGACTTGTTACGTTATCGGCCGTCGCGCTTGCTACTGATAGCAAGGGTCGGTGCAGTGTTCGGGCCGTCGTGGGCCAGTGTGGTTACGTGACGCTTACCATGCTTGCGCGGTCATGGAATATGCTTGTCGGTGTTCAGGAGGGAAAAAAAAACACAGACACAATTAATCGTCGATTCCCCAGAAAATATGGGAAAATATGGGAAGTGGGGGGGAAGACAAAAACCCAGAAGATATGGGAAAATATAGGGAATCTTTTTATTTGTGTGTATTTATTTGTGTGTCCTGGGGCCCCTTCAGGTGTGTCTTACAGTGTTGCCAATCATGTTGTCTCATGTGTTCCGCCGTGGCGTCTGTCGTTTGTTCTTAGTTCAGGCAGGCAATGCGTCGTGACGCCCGCCATGCCTGCTTAATTGTGGCACGTCCCCATTTTGATTCGTCGTGTTGCCCATCGTTGTCATAGCGTTTCCTAAGCTGCCGTGTCTGTTCGTTTGTGATTCATCCTGCCTTCATGTTTAACGTTGTGGTATGGTGCCCCGTGTTGCATACATGCGTTATTCATGCTTGCGTTGCCCGCTTGTCTGCCATCGTGT